GGGGAAGGATAATGAAAGGATATAGCCAAGAATTGTTTTAATTCATCTCATTTTTCCTCTTCTCTTAAATCCTCAGAATCTTATTTTCTAAACAAGAAGCACCGGACCCTACAAGCTAAATGCAAAATGGATGGCAATCAATTGGTTAGTCTGCTTTAATGCCTTGTTGCTGGAAATGAAATGTTGATCTCCTTCTCCTTTCTCCAGGAAGTACTGTTATGCGGGTGACGGCATTTGATGCAGATGACACTTCTACAGATAATGCTGTGCTGAGATACAACATCCTGAAGCAGACTCCAGACAAACCATCTCCAAACATGTTCTACATTGACCCAGAGAAAGGAGACATTGTCACAGTGGTATCTCCAGCCATGTTGGACCGCGAAGTAAGTCACGAGAGGCTTCCATGATTTGTTTGACCAAAACCGACTCAAACAATTGCAAGGCTTATTGGTTACCGCCTACTTTTTCACTTTGTCTCCTTACCTGGAACTCAGTGGGCCGTGTGTTGATGTGATCTTTAGATGGCTTGTTTAGAAAAACATGATGTAGAACCCCACAGATGGAAAAGAAAAAAAAAAGGAAGTGTTTAGATAGATGAATAATATCAGGATTTAATTTCCCAGTGATTTGTAGCAGATCAGCGGTATTTCTATTTCTAGACTAGAGGTGTTTCTTTCCATTTTTCCATGCGTAGAAAGGAGCTGTGAAATAATATTAGAACATACATGTCTTATTTTAAAGGCAACTGGACTTGCTCATCCAAGAAATGCCTTCAGTTCTAACTACCAGTAACTGCTGGGGAAACCAGTCCAGATGGCTTTAAAATAAAAGCACTTTTAAGGACAACTATGACCTGGATGATTGAGAACCTCCATAGACATTAGAGCACACAGCTTGCATGCAGAAGGGAGAAGGAGGAAGAGGAGGAGGAGGAGGAGGAGGAGGAGGAGGAGGAGGAAGAAGAAAAAGAAAAATAGTGATAGTAGTAACTCAGAAGTGTCAACTTCATGACCCATCAATGTCAAGAAGATACTGGGGGAAAATAGAGAGCAAGTTGATATGACAACTGGGTTGTAAAGAGAAGAAATAAGCTTTATTAGACTTTGTCCTTGAAGAAAAGAAGGAGGTTTAGAGTTTGTGAGTTAAGAAGGGATAAGGAGTTGAACTCTTCTTTGGTTCAGATTAAAATTCTGAGCCATCAGAGAATAGGGATATTGTAAAAACCCTCCTGAACTTGCAAAGCAGAACTGAGCACTACTGCCATGTAGCTGGCTAATTCAACACAAAGGAAGGGGGAAAAAGAATAATCTCCCTTTAAATATAGCTCCATGCTGACACCCCCAATTTGCATAAACAGAAGTGAGCCAACCTCTCCGAAATCTTTCATTATGAGATTATCCTTCCATTTTCATTTATAAGGGTAACAGCCACATTGGGGTGTGAACGAGCGTGTGGTGCACAAGCAATGTGTGTTTTCTTTTTCTTTAAAATAGTTAAAGGATGTATAATGGGGGGAAATTGCCAGCATCATAAATAAGTGCTGAATTTTTTAAAGTAGTAATTTTATTAAAAATGACCGTTGCAAATATTTTAAAAAAAACGAATACAAACTTAAAAACACCAATGATTAGGTCTCCCTGATGGTTAATACATCATTTTGAGCCAGCCAGAGCTTCTGTGTGAGACATGTAAAATACAGTATGTTGGGATAGGCCAGAAAATTGGGGAGAGTTGCATTGTAGCAAAGATGGGAAACTTGTCTGGAATGTCTTGACTCTAATTCTTTTATTTAAATCTGGCCAAGTTTTTGTCCAGGCAAAGGGTGAATATTGCCAGAAAGCAAGGCCACAGTATGTCAATGTGTGATTGATCTGTCTCCTTAAAGAAGAGGCAAACTCATCCAATAAGGTAAGGTTGGGATAAAAAAAGGAAGCCCCCACCAAGGATTTGCTATGACCAGAATCAAAACTGACAAAGTCTCAGACAAACTCCCAAAAAGACATGACTGAGTTCTAATTCTATCTTGAATTCAGCTTCTTTATTTAACAAAAGAAGAACCACCTTAGAAAGTAGCGTATATTTTTAACTATGAGGTCTTTGCTGCTCTCTGTGTTTGGTTGTTTTCTTATAGACATTGCATGACCTAACAGTGAACTGATGATGTTACCTAGTTGGGTCATGCAAAATCTGCAAGAAAACAACCAAGCGCAGAAAACAAGGAACTCACAGTTCTCCTCCTCCTCCTTCTCCTCCTCCTCCTGCATACCCCACTCCCTACTAGCACTGATGATGTTACCTAGTTGGGTCATGCAACATCTTCAAGAGAACAACCAAGCTCAGAAAACAACAAGGACCCCACAGTCATCCTCCTCCTCCTCCTCCTCCTCTCCGCACACCCCACTCCCTCCTAGCACTGATGATACTACCTAGTTGGGTCATGCAACATCTTCAAGAAAGCGACCAAGCTCGGACAGAACCAAGGAACCCACAGTTCAACCCTAAGCTGCAGATATTCTCTTCTGTTACTATGTTCTTAACTTTAGGCACTTTGGTTAAAATACCCATATGAAATGAAAATATTAAATATGAGGGCTAAGCAACCACCAAGTCACCCAGAGAACTTTATGGCCAGATGGGAATATGAAATATATTTTAGTGAGATACTTCAGGGATTTCAGGCTCGCTACCAGCTAGGAACTGAAATAAAAGGCTTTTCCCCATGTTTATCCACCCACAGTCACTGGACAAAGGGTTCCAGCTGTCCCGTTTTTATAACCCATCGTATGACTAATAAGGCAGTTATGTATTGTGCCTAATTATGCTTTTTAAATGTTAAGTTAGTGCAATTAAAACACGAGCGAAATATTGACAGACATCTGTGACATAAATGCCATTGCCTTGAAAAGAGCTAGCTGTAGATAAATTGTTGAATTATACCCTAAAGAATGGGGGGGGGGGAGTAGGAGGAATCACCAGGATGTCAATCAAACCTTCTTTTAATTCTTACTTGGATTTCGCTCCATCTTCAAAATGCATTGAATCAGCTGGAGAATCATTTATAAAACATGAATGCCTATCTGCTTTTGCCGACAAGAGTGGATTTTTTGCCATTATGGAGAAAAACTACGAATAAATAGCATTGGAATCCCGATTAAAATGTTGCTGTCAAATTGGGAAGGAACCCCAGAACAATCTCGTTTTTCTTTTGTTTTGCTCCAACACAAAGTCCAGTTTTCTCAACTTAAAAAAATAATAATGTTAAAAGTAATTAAATGTAAAAAGTACCAAAAGGGTTGGTTTCATTGAGAAGATCCCTTCAGCGAATATATTAAAAAATTTTCAGCAGGAGATTAAACTTTCCCCTGGCTTTCATCCTCTAAATGTTCTCCCATCAATTTATCCCCTGCTTCTATATTTTTAAAAAAACAACACTGCAGGATTAGAGAAAATGTGCATTTCATATCATATTTAGATTGGATTTTCTCATTGTGCTAAACAGTTGCTTGTAGACTAAACCACAGTTACCTGGGTTTGTACAGCAGTTTAAGCCATAGGCTTACTGTAGCTTGTTTGGTTGAATTGATAGTTCCTTGATTGGGGCGTTGTTTACTTCTTGATTGTTTGTCTAGTATTCATCTTGATGTTAATATCTACTTAGTTGGGTGTCGATTGCTGGCAAGGATATGTTCTGGTCTTTTTGTTTCCTTTTGAGTCCCAAAGATGCTTTTTCAAGAGGCGAGTAGACTTTCTGGTTTTTCTTTGAAGATGTTTTGCTTCTCATCCAAGCTTCTTGGATGAGAGGCAAAACATCCTCAAACTATGACCTGGATGATGGAGAATCTCCATAGACATTTCTTTTTTAGCTTTTTTATTGTCTCTTTAGAATGGTATGCAGATGTTGTTTATCTCTATATGCCTGTTGATGGCTGATTTGTCTGAGTGCCAGGCTTTCCAGAATGTTCTTGGAATTGTGAATGTTTTTGCTCAGTTGAAACTGGTTGAGCCTTATTTATTTTCATAACTATGGACCTATGGTTGGTTAGCCACTATGTGATGAGCCTCATTTTCATTAATAGCCTCCTCTATCAATGACTTTTTCACCCAGAATCCTTTAAAATCAAAGCAGCTATTTGGCCTAATCCCTTTCCTTTAATTTATTTATTTTTTAATTCTTTTTGGAATATCTTTATATTGTGGGACACATTTATTGATTCACACTGCATTCAGAAAAAAAGAAAAATCTTGTGGGCCAACATAATTTGTTGCTTCACCAGCTAGTTAAAGATAAAGAGAAGCTTCATGCAAGCACAGGAGGGCAAAATAATATCAAGAACACACAGTGTTCAGCTAAAAGAAAGAAGACATTTTTTTAAAAAAGAAGGAAAAAAAAACTCCATCAGTTGTGTACCAATTTAATAAACAACTGTCATGTATGCTTAAAATCACCACTCCAATATTTTAATTATGTCATCTTCAAATAACTTCTCATGCAAAGAAAGTTGAAGTGACAGCTTGTGGCCTGAAGAAAATGTAACATGACGTAGCTCATTTTCTTTCCCTCTTAGAGCTAAAATTTAATTTTCTTCATCTTGACAAGGAAGTGTTTTAATTAGAAATTACTTCTGTTTCTGCCCTCCCTCCCCATTTAAACCCTGATACACACAAAACAGCAAGACTTTGGATTGTTCTAATGAGCACATGTATGTTATCCTGTCCAGAACTAGAAATAGGCCCTAAATCTTTGTCCATTACTACTGTCTGGGAAGGCAGTATGCAATTCCTTGTCCAGATTGAAGAACCATTGTTGCATCTAGAGCTGGGGTTAGTTCACCCAACTTTTGAGGGTCATTTAGCAAAATGTGGAATGCTTTGATTATGTTATGGTCACCCACACACAAGAACTCTTTCAAAAACTCATGCACGTGTCAAGAAGAGAGGCACAATTGCTTGCCAATAGCTAGATTTAAAGTATTCAAGAGTTGCAATCACAAATGCTTCAATTTTTCATGAATTGATCCTTCCGCCATTTCAACCATTTAATTGTTGTCCATCACGATATCTGATGGCAGAAAATTCCATTATCTAATCGTGTGTGTGATCTTCTTAATCTAGAGTCAGTCTTCGAGATGAAAACTGAGTAATTTTCAGATGCTTTTCCAAGCCTTCAGATGCTTTTCCAAGTCTTCTTATTTCCCATTCTTTAAGAGGACCTGTTAATTCTTCTAATAATATATTACACTTTGCCTCCCGCCCTTTCCTCCCCTTTTTCAGTCCCCTTTTTCAGTTTTTAAAGCACATTGATGCATTTTCTTCTAGAATAGATCCATTGTAATTATCTTTGCATTTGTTCCTTTTTCTCTCTTACTATTTTAAAAGCGATAAA